AGAAAGTTTTCCTGCTCAAACTGGTCCCCTGGCACCCGGGTTACAACAACAACGGCTCCCGTCTTAGACTTCCTCACAATTTAGCCAGGACCCCCGCTCCCGCCCGAGACTTCCTCGCATTGTATTCAAGAATCGCGCTCTCGCTTGGGACTTCCTTACGATTAATTCAGGAATCGCTCCTCCTGCGCTCTGGAGTCACGCTCTCGCTGGAGACTTGCTTGCAAACTACTGAAGAATAGCGCCCTTGCGTTGGAATTTCTTGCAATTTACTCCCCGTTGCAGCCCTTCGTGGCCCCCTCGTTTTTTTTTCGTGGCCCCGTTGTAGCCCCTCGTGGCCTCCTCGTTGCCCTTCGTGGCCCCGTTGCAGCCCTTCATGGCCCCCTCGCTTTGCTTCGTGCCCCCCCCGTTGCAGCCCTTCGTGGCCCCCTCGCTGCCCTTCGTGGCCGCGTTGCAGCCCTTCGTGGCCCCGTTGCAGCCCTTCGTGGCCCCCTCGCTTTGTTTCGTGGCCCCCTTGCAGCCCCTCGTGGCCCCCTCGCTTTGTTTCGTGGCCACATATATGTATGCCCTTCGTGGCCCTCGCTCGTTCGCGCCCATGGTGGCCCCATATGCATGCCATTCGTGGCCCCGCTGTCGCCCTTCGTGGCCCCCTCGCTGCCCTTCGTGTCCCCGTTGCTGCCCTCAGTGGCCCCGTCCGTACCCTCCGCGGCCCAACATACGTATGCCCTTCGTAGCCCCCGCTCGTTCGCGCTCTTCGTGGCCCCATGTGCATGCCCTTCGTGGCCCCGCTGTCGCCTTTTGTGGCCCCCTCATTGTCCTACGTGGCCCAGGTGCTACCCTCAGTGGCCCCATCGTTGCCTTCTGTGGCCCCGCATTATCTGCCCTTCGTGGCCCACGCTCGTTCGCGCTCTTCGTGGCCCCATACGCATTCCCTTCGTGTCCCCGCTGTCGCCCTTCGTGGCCTACTTCGTGTCCTTCGTGGCTCTGCTGTCGTTCTCTCTCGCTCTCGCTTTCGCTCGTCGTCGTCGTCGCCGTCGTCGTTGCCGTCGTCGTCGACGTCGTCGTCGTCGTCGTCGTCGTCGTCGTCGTCGTCGTCGTCGGTCGGTCCCCTGTCCGTCCCTCTTGGGGTCGGGTCGACGGTCCGCAGCCGCCCCGCCGATCAGCGCTGCCGCTGGCCAGGCCGACGGTCCGCGGCCGCCCCGCCGCTTGCCGGGGCCCGGCCTGCAGGGAAGAAAGGTATACCCCCCAAAAGGGGTTCCATCGAAGACGAAAAGGGCGGGTATCGAGGGTTTGGGAAATTCGCGTTACTCGACACTCGAGCAGATAAGGGCGAACAGTCTTAAAATGATTGTTGTTGTTGTTGTGGTTGTTGTGGTTGTTGTCGTAGTTGTTGCTTCTTTCTCCCGAGGTGACGCCCACATGGCCCTCGATGGCCCTCGCCGAGGGACAACGCACACGTCCGAGCGATGCCAGGGCTCCACAACGCTGCACGCTTTGCTGCAGCATCGGAGCTCGAGAGATCTCGGGCCGGGGGATCGCCGAGGGGCCGGCCAAGGGCCGCCGATGGCCCGAGGAGCGCACGCTCGAGGGCCCGTAGGCGCCTCGTCGAGGAGGAGGACGGGGGGAGGAGCCTCGTCGAGGAGGACTCCCCCCTCCTCCTCCTCCTCCTCCTCCTCCTCCTCCTCCTCCTCCTCCTCCTCCTCCTCCTCCTCCTCCTCCTCCTCCTCCTCCTCCTCCTCCTCCTCCTCCTGGGCGGGAGTGGGGCTTGGCGTGCAGAGGCCCGGGACGTCGAAGAGTCCACGGGCGGCTGGGGGCGGAGGAGGAAGGAAGGGCGACAGAGGAGAGGCGAGGAGCAGAGGGGGGGGTCGCCCTGGTGGTCTGGCCCCCCCCTCCCCCGAGAGAGACGTCCCCCGCCTCCAGCTCGGGGAGGCACCATGGACCTCCTCGCTGGAGGTGGGGCCCCCTGGCGGTGTTGGTGTCGCATCTCTCCCCCCTCCGAGGGGTGGAGGTTCCCCCACCCGTCCCCGGCGGATGCTCGTTCCAAGGCCCGACCTGAACAGTGCTGCTCGGCTTCGCGCAGTTTTCGTTGCCCCTCGTTCCATCTTCGTCCCTGCTTCGCGTCAGAAGGACATCGAAACGAGAACGGCCCACGAAACCACCCACCAAACACCGGATAGGTCGAACACTGAGAATTCTTCAGCGAGGACGGGCGGTAGGGATGCAAGGGCCTTCGACACCGAAGTTGACACTTTTGGGCGGCGGGCTGCCACTGAAAACCGCGAAGGAGGGACCGCAGAAGCAAGGACGCAAGGGCACCCTGAGGACAACCGTGGGTCCCTACCGTTAGTGTTGACAATACTCGCTCCACTCATGCGCAGATGCTGCGTCGAGTGTCCGTCGACTCGACTGGATTTTGAACCGAACAAGGGTCGATCTCGAGTCACGCTAGAGCCGAGCTGGAGTCAGACTATAGGGTCGAAGCAGAGCCGGAGAGATCCGACAGGTGGGCCCCAGACGTGTCCCCCCAAACGAACATCTCAAACCGCTGTGCCAACCTAGGGGCACAAAAAGGGGCATAAACATAAAAACTCGGAGGTCCGCGCGGATTTCTCGGATCGGCCCTGGACCTCCCTCCCTGGCGCGCGGAGCGCGCCAGGGGCGGCGCCGGAGGCGCCGCCGGGGGGCCCCGGCGCGGATCCGAGAAATCCGCGCGGACCTCAGAGTTTTTATGATTATGTCACTTTTTGTTCCCCTACAACCGCCCCCCCCCGCCCCGCTTCGCCGCCCCTGACCTGCGGGGGCAGCGGGGGCAGAAGGCCTGCTCGGCACGAAGTAGGCGGGTCCCGAGGGCGCCGGGTCTGCGACCCCGCGGCCTCTTGCTCCCAGGGCCAGCCCTTCAGCCTGAGCCGTTCTCTGAGGGTGGAGGAGGAAAAGGGAGAGGAGAGGAGGAGGAGGAGGAGGAGGAGGAGGAGGGAGGAGGAGGAGGAGGAGGAGGAGAAGGAGGAAGAGGAGCAAGTCCGAAAACGGCGAGCAACCTCGGGGCCCAGAGATCGGATGTGCGGTTTGTTGTCCCAGCCCTCCTGCGTTGGGTTCTCGTTTTGGATGCCGCAGTGCGCGCGCGCCTCCTTCTCCTCCTTCCCGCGCATCCCTTCTCCTCTCATATTTCCTACCTGCCTCTTACCTCGCTCCCTCCTGCGTGCCAGCTTGACTCCTACCTGGTCATCCCTGGAGGGCTGCGATGTGCGAGATTGTCGCCACTTTCGAAGGTTGCTGGGGGGTCGCGCGGAATGTGGTACCACCTAGATTCAGATCAGACCTCGACATCCCTGGGGGGCTGCGATCTGCGAGCGGTCGCCACTTTCGAAGGCCACTGGGGGTCCAACGGAGTGAGGCACCACCCAGATTCAGATTAGACCTCGCCATCTCGGAGGGGTGGGCTGCGACCTGTCACCATGTTATAAAACAAACTGCTGGGGGGCCAAGCGGAGTGAGGCACCACCTAGATTCAGACGCAGAGTCATATTAGACGTCGCAATCCCTGGGGGGCTGCTGCGGTCTGCGAGACAGCCGCCAGTTTCGAGGGCTGCTGGGGGTCCAGCGGAGTGAGGCACCCAGATTCAGTTGAGTCCTCGCCATCCCTGGATGGCTGCGATCTGCGAAACCACCGCCACTTTCCAGGGCTGCTAGGGCGTCCACCGGTGTGAGGCACCACCCTGATCCAGATTAGACCTCGCCATCCCTTGGGGGTGCGATCTGCGAACATACCACCATTTTTGAAGGTGGCTGGGGGGCCTGGCGGAATGATGCACATCCAAACTAAACCACGCCATCCCGTGGGGGCCTGGGATTTGAGCAACTGCCGCCACTTTGAAATGCTGCTGGGGGGGCCAGCGGAGTGAGGCACGACGCAAAGTCATATTAGACCTCGGCTCGCCGTCCCTGGGGGGCTGATGCCTGCGAAACTGTCGCCACTTTCGAGGGCTGCTGGAGGTCCAGCGACATGAGGCATCACCCAGAATCAGATTAGACCTCGCCAATTCTGGGGCTTGGATCCTGCGAAACTGTCGCCACTTTCGAGGGCCACTGGGGGGTCCAGCGGAGTCGGACTGAAGTCTTACGCGGGCCACCAGGTGACCTCGCCATCCCCAGGGTCCAGCGGAGCGACGCCGTTTTCTGTTACCCGGGGATTGTTTCGGGTTCCAGGGTCGTCAGGAAAGAAGCAGAAAGCTGGCGGCCGAGCTAGGCCTCGCTCGCTTCTTGGACTTAATATAAGCGGGCTGAATAATTTGTTCGAGCGCCGCGGCGACATGGCACAGGCAACGGTTTGCAACGGTGCATTCGTCGTCCTCTTCACCCTCCTGCCACCTTCTCTCTGCTGCTGCCGCGCTGACGGTTCGGCTCCCCTACGCGTCCTTCTCCTGCCCTTCGTTCCCGCCCCCATGTCCTCCTCAAGCCTGGGCCCTCGCTCCTCGTCCTGCTGTTGTTGTCCTGGAAATCGTGCCACGTGAGCGAATCCCATGCTGCTTGCACAACACATGACGGCGCCTGCATTGTCATTGGCCTGGCAAGTTTGGGCCAACTCCTCTTTAGGGGGCCACATGCGAACCCTACCCCTACCCCCCACGATTTCTGAGGGGGAGGGTGGGGTTCACCTCGACCAGGAGCTCCCGAGCGAAGTGAACCCCACCCTCCCCCTCAGAAATCGTGGGGGGTAGGGGTAGGATTCGCATGTGGCCCCCTACTCTTGTCACTCGATGCAGATGGGTTGGGTACGTCACAGGGTAATCCAATAATTACCCCCCCCACCCACCCCCGACGCCCAGAGCCTCCACATGGGACCAACTTTGCGTCCCGAGCAGGCTCTGTGACGGTCCCCGTGACCCGGCCAGGGCCCGCGGCATGCCGAAAACGACGAGGCCCCTCCGCACTCCAGTTCTTCGAGGCGCTCGATATCCCTCGGGGCCCGCCGCTTCCCTCGAGACACCCGCCTGCTTCCTGGCGACCTGCCCAGCCCGGCGGCGAGGTCGCGGCCGCCGCCGCCGCCGCCGGGCGCGCGGGCGCCTGCGGCAGCGCGGCGCTCGCCGCCCTCGCCGGGGGCGGGCCCGGCTCGCTGCTCCTTGCGCTGCTGCCGGGGCTGCCGCCGCCGGCGTGGTGGCCCCGCGCGGGGCCCCAGGGGGCCTCCGGGGCCGCCTCGAGCTCGCCGGGGGCGCCGGCGGCGCCGGCGGCCTCCCCGGCGAGCTCCGCGGGCAGCGGGCGCCCAGTCACGCGCACGACGTAGGCGTGCGCGGCGGCGAGGCGCTCGGAGAGGCTCCGCACCTGAGCGGAGGAGTCGAGCGCCATTGTCAGTTCGCGGCCACGACGGGCGTTATGGGGCGGGGATTGGGGGGGGGGAAGGGGGGCCCCGGGGGTCGTTAACGTAACGCCTCCTCCCCCCCCCCCGACCCCTGGACTGTGGTGCCGGGGAGCGTTGCATTCTGGGGGGGGAGGGGGGGGGGAGGGTAGAGGGCAAGAGGATAAACAAACAAGGTCGCCATGGCTCTGAATGCGAGAAGACATGGGGCCTTGCGCCGCGGCCGTGGCACACCGTGTGGAGATGAGAACGTTCACGCGCGCCCTCGCGCGGGGAGCACGCGCGACTGTCCGCGCGGCCGGCCCCGTTTTCTTCTGCACCTGCCCCCGGAGCTGCTGGATCAGCCGGGACTTGGGGTCCAGGTTGACCGTGGGCCGGTTGCGGATCCTCGAGGCCGTGGCCGCATAGTGCAGCGTGGACAGGTTCTCGTCGAGGTGGGCATCGCTCGGCGACAAGCAAGCCATCATCAGCGTGAAACTGGAGCCACCCACTGCGTCCCGAAGCAGCGTGGTGAGCTTGGACTCGCGGTAGGGCAGCGGCGCCAAGCTGCTGCCCTGCCGCTGCGCGAGGGCGGTGATGACCTTGCGAAGCACGAACAGCGACTGGTTGATGCTGATGCTCTCGCGGAACGTCTGGCCAGTGGCACCTGTGCCGCTCTGGCGCTCGGATCCCGCGAGGTCCACCAGGGTCAGCTTCGACACCCGCAGGTCCGAGCCCTCTGTGGAGCTCCTCTCCACGGTGAGCGTCAAGATGCAGTGCGACCTGCTGCTGGCCTGGTTCATCTTGTGGGAGGCCACGGCCCGGCTGCGCACTCCGGCCCTGTAGAACCCGAGGGCCTCCGCGGCGCTGCTGCACTCGAACACGAAGAGATTCTCGACCACGGCGGCGGACTGGTGCGGGTTCCAGCGCAGCCGCAGGCCTCGGCCTGCGCCGGCGGGGGCGCCGGCGCCCGCGTGCACGGGGTTCAGCAGGTCGTACACCTGCTCCTGTCGGGCGCTGGCAGAACTGGGTTTGGTGGGACCTGGTTTAGTGGGGGACGCCCCCCCCCGCCCGTTCCGCTAAGCAGAGCTGCCGTCCGTCACCCGACAAAACACCAGCGACGGCAGACCTGGTTTGGTGATTCTGGCCAATCCAGGGGCTCCCGGGCCCTACCACTAACGGGGTCGCCCTAGTCCCCTTACCTGGGGTCCTGGCTATATCCGATCCTGGTACAGCTGCAGGAACGAGAGCTTCACCGTGAGGACGTCCGAGCTAGCAAGCCGGCTCTGCTCGACGCGCCGGAACAGCCCCAGCACCGCCCGCGGCGCGAGGCCCCTCCCCGCCGCGTCGCCGGAGTCGACGCCCTGGCCGTCGACGCCCTCCATGGTGTAGGTCTTGCCGCTGCCAGTCTGCCCGTACGCGAACACTGTGGCGTGGAAGCCGTCCAGCACGCGGCCCAGCAGCGCCTCGAGTTATGTTGCTCCCGTCCTACTTAAGCACCGCATCCCAGAAATAACTTCGAGCACCCAGAAAAGCGTCAAAAGAGTGTCGAAGCAGTGTCGGGCGAGTGTATCCCAGGGCCCGGCACGTGAAAACCTTCGAGTTTCGGTACTTTTCTACTGTGCTCGACATTCCTCCTGGGAGTCAAGGCGACAGTAGGTTGGCACATCATAAGCCTCGAGGCGGCAGCCCTCGAAAACGCCCTCCTGCGACGCCTCCGGCCCGAAGACGCGGTCGAAGCCGAAGGCCTGGGCCTGACCGCCCTCCTCCGCGTGCCGGCGCGGGCCGCGCCCGAGAGCGGACACGCGGCCGGCCTCGGGGTCCCAGGCGAGGCGGCCGGTGGTGGCGCCGCCGCGCGCCTCGTGCTCCAGCAGCGGCCGCACGCGGACGCACACCTGCGAACCAGCCTCGAACGCATCCCGACCCCCAAGATGCACAGGCCAAAAGTCGACGACCATCTTAGGGATGCGCGCCCAGAAACGGAGGGAACCCCCAAGATCGGCATCGAGATGTGGCGATGCCAGGCATAGGAGTAGGGATGTGTTTCAGGCTGGTGAACCTGCACCGCCGCCTCGGCCTCCGGCTCGGCGGCGGCCGCGCCGGCCCTCGCCGCCGCCTGGGCCCGTGGCCCCAACGGAGCGTGCGCGCGGCGCGTGCTCACGCAAAGGCGTTCTCTCTCTCTCTCTCTCTCTCTCTGTGTGTCCGCGCGCAGATTCTTCGCCACCGGGTTCCTGTACAAGGCGTCCCTTTGCAAGCACATCGTTTTCGGCACCGCCTGAGTCTGGGGCTTTGCCCTCTCTTGGCCTTGACGTGAGGCCCCTCCTTCTGCCTTCCCCCCTCTGTCAATTAAAGCTGTGCGCGGCCCGCTTAGCTTTGACCGGAAGAGGTGCGCTCTCGACCCGCGGATCAAAAAAGTGTGTCCGCGCGCGCTCAGGGCCGCCAGGGGCCCCCGCATTACCAGCGGAGGCTGGCAGGCAGAGAGCGCTCGTCTTGCCACCCTGCCTCGTCTGTGGGCCAGGCGCATACACGTCGTTCGTGTCTGATCGTGCTCATTTCTAGAGCTGTGCTCGTTTCTGATTGCCCCGGGCCCCCTAGAGGCCAGGAAGAGGCCCAGGAGAGCACAACTAGCGATGAAAAAATCTCGGCCCCCCCAACAAAAAATATCAAAGAACTTTCGGGTACTTGGACATGAGCAGTGCGCATATCTCGACGCGGTCCTCCGAAGCACGTCGGCATCACCTCCTGAATCGCCGCGCGCATGCTTCCTCCTTTCTCCGTCCTCCTTCCTCCTCCTCGCTCTCCCCCTCCTCCTCCCCCTCCTCCTCCCCCTCCTCCTCCACCTGCTCCTCCCCCTCCTTCTCCCCCTCCTCCTCCCCCTCCTCCCCCCCCTCCTCCTCCCCCTGCGCCGACGAATCGGCATCACCCCCAGGAGCCGGCTCTCTCGACGCGCGCCTGTCTCCTGGAGGGAGGCGCGGAGGCCCCTGCGGGGCCGGCCCTGCGAGAGAGAAACAAACAGCGCCCGCCGTGCGGCTCTCTCGCGACTCGCGACGCCCGGAGCTCCGGAGCCCCCCCTCTCGAGCTCGAGCCCCCCCTGATTTGTGCGGTTCCCCGGACCTGCTCGGTATTCCTCCCTGCTCGGTGTTCCTCCTCTCTTCTTCCTCCTCCTCCTCCTCCTCCTCCTCCTCCCTCCTCCTCCTCCTCCTCCTCCTCCTCCTCCTCTCGTACTGCTAATCGAGGAATGAAAAAAACGCCCCTACCCTGGGTAACAAGTGCGTGGTCAGTCAACCTCCTCGGAGCTCCCACAGGCCAGAGAGCAGCCAGGACGCCGCGCGGCACGCGCGATACGCAGGGTTTACCCTGTCAGCCCACAGGAGGTTCAGCGCACAGCGCCTCATAAACCAGGGTAGGTCGTTTTTTTCCGCCCTTGATATTAGGACCACATCTCACAAATCATCTCGAACACCCGGGAAAATGTCGCGAGTGTCAAGACAGTGTCGAACGGGTGTCTCCCAGGGCCCGACGCGTGAACACCCTCCAGCTTCGGCACTGTCTCGGTGCTCGAACCTCTTCCTGGTGATCAAGGCGAAAGTATAGGCTGGAACATCATAACCCCTGAGATGGGGTGCGCCTGGGCCAGATGCGTCCGAAGCGGCGCCTGCCGTGGGGACGAGGGGGCCCCGGGGGAGGCCCCCGGGGGCCGAGCCCCCGCCGAAAGACCTCCTCCGACCCCGAGCCTCGAAAGCCGACCGGGGAGGCCGGCGCCTGGAGGTCTCCGTCGAAGTCGCGGTCGATGAGCCCGCCAAGCCCGGGCAGAGGCGCGGCGGCGTCGACGCGGGAGGCGCTGGGCTCCATGGCATCGCCAGGCCGGCCCGCGCACTCGCGGGGCGCCTGCTGAGGCGGGGGTGCGGCCCCGGGCGCCCGCGGCGGCGGCCTGAGCCGGGGGAGGGCGAGGAAGAGGATGGGGAGACCCGAGGAGGGAGGGGGGAGGGGGGGAAGGGGGGCTGGGAGGAGAGAGGGGGGGGAGAGAGAGAGAGAGAGAGAGAGAGAACGAGAGAGAGAGAGAGAGAGAAAGAGAGAGAGAGAGAGAAACACATGAAAAAGAGGGGGGAAGAGACAGACAGGGGGTCCCCCCCTTCAGGGGAATGAGGAGGCGAGAAGGGGAGGATAATGAGTATGATCAACACAAGAATGGAAGCCACAACAGAATGATACCAGAGAAAAAATCCCATCATAATCTCTTTAGGGCTGTAGGGCTATAGGGCTCCAGGGCTGTAGGGCTATAGGGGTATAGAGCTACAGGGATATATGGGCTACATGGGCTATTGGGCTAGTGGGCCATGGGGCTACCCCCGGGCACCCGTGCACCCCCAGGCACGCCCGGGCACGCACGCCCGGGTACCCGGGCACCCGGGCACCCCCGGGCACCTGGGCGTGCGGGGAAAATCGGCGGCAAACCTAACCTATAGATGTATATATATATATATACATACAAATATATACATATATACATATACACATATACATATATATATATATATATATATATATATATATCCGCGAGGACCCCTACAAAAACAAGAGGAGGAGAAGGAAGAGGAGCGACCGACCCCAGTGCGCGGGTTCTCCCCGCAAGACACGGCGCCGCTGTCGCGGCGGGCCCCGACGCTCGGCGCCTCGTGGGAGGGCGCCTGCGGGTCATCGAGGTCGACGCAGTTGCTGCCCTCGAATCCGCCAGAGTATGAAACAGCGGGCTGCGGGTCCGCCGCCGGGTCGCCCTCGCTCGGGGCGACGGGTGCCACTGGCACACCATCGCCGCCAGCCGCAGGAATGTGCGCCGCTCCGTCGTAGCCGGGGAAGGCGACGTAGCCGCTCAGGTCGCCAGTCGGTCTCGTTTACGGCGCCGTGCCAGCCAGTCTTCGAGTCGGCCAGGGCAGGTGCGCGCAGAATCCCCAGTTCCTCGCCCTCGGGGAGTGGAGCAAAACCGAAATGTCCCCCATCGCCGTAGCCGTCGGCGGTGATCATGAAGAAGGTGTGGCAGGCATGCAGCGATTGGGTTCGCACGTTGCCAGAAACATCTGGGGCATCGCGGGTCATCGGGGCCATCCATAGGGAGGGCGAAGGTGCGCGCGCCCAGGATGACCTTGGAAAAGGGCCCTTCTTCTGGAAGCCTGCCTGCAGGAGGAAGCTCTTGCACACGTGGCTGCCCTCCATGTCTCGGCGCAGCGTTTCCTTGAGAGGTCGCGGGGAAGGCCCCCGCCTCCGTCGCGCTCTTATAAGGACGCGAGGTCGCCCACCCTCAGCAGCAACAGGAAGCGCACGAGCAGGACGTAACACTCCATCTTCATTAGGAGGTGGTCCAGCATCACGGAGGAGTTCCCATCGTGACTGGGCGAGCAAGTACCAGACGGTGGTGATGGATACGTCGCAGGCACGGCGCATGTGCGGAGAGCTTGGGCAGCAGCTTGAGATGCCGCCTTGGATGGGGAGACAACGCATCAGGTGGGTCATCTTGACTGGGCAGGACAGGATCATATTGTGACGACCCACAGAGAAGAACAAACCACTTGCTCTAGTAGAGGTACTCCATGCACTGGTGCAGCGCGCCTATCTTCAGCCCCGCGTAGCACGGCGTCGCCAGGGGGGTCTTCGGCTTGCAGGGGCGGGGGCCCGTCTGGCTGAAGTCGGGGAAAAAAACCTCCCGCAACTACAATGCCGTGAAGGTCCGCCTCACTTCGGACGGGTTCCAGTCGTTAATGAAAGAGCAGGTGACCAACGGCGGCGACAGCAATGTCGCAAGCGAGGTAAATGCCCGGAGCGCTTGGACGGCAGCCTGCAACGCAGCTTCAGTGTCGGGGGCAAGACCCACATGGCAACGATCATCACTCCCTTGCTGGTCATCACGCTCGGCCGTCGTCGGCTCAATCGTCGTTGCGGGGTCGCGCTGCTACCTGGGCTACCTGGGATTTCCCAAGCACTTCGTCCAGGATGTAAACCGAAAGGCCGTGGTCAACCAGCGTGCCCTCGAACTCGTCAGAGTCGGAGAAGGACTGCGCAGGATGAGGTTGGATGTCATCGCGGTCGTTATCCATGGCGAGACTGGCTTACTTCGCTAGGTTGATGAGGTGATCCTAGTCCATGTCGGGAAAGTGGTCGTCGTCGTTGTCAACGCGGCCGCGTGCCTCGCCAAAGGAGCACCCATAACTCCTGAAACATCACGTCGCCTTCGTCGACGGGGGCTTCGCCTTCGATCTCAGCGGGTTTCTCTGTGCGCGCGGTCTCGTGGTCGCCATCCGGCAGCCGCAAGTCCGCCTCCGTCGGATTCGGGCAGTCATTTTGGTCGACGCGGGCGTTGTTCTCGTCGCGAGGGTAGAGGTCGGCGAGTAGGAGGGGCAGGAAGGCTTGCTGGGGTGATTGGAAAAATGGTGCCGCCGGCGGTTGGGCAGGCGTCGCGCGCGTGAAGTCCTGGCGTTCATCCCACTTCGCACGCGCCGCGTCGGATTCCCAGGGGCGCTGGCGGAGGTGCTCTGAAAATTCTCGCACGAAGCGCTGGCACGCGACGGCGTTCGCGGTCGGGCCATGAGCCTCGCAGGCGGTGCCGGCGACGTTCGCACGATATCGCTGAGCCATGCCAACCCGCCATGCAAACATGCTACGCAAGCGCATCGCGCAGCCAAGAGTCCGAAACACCTCGTGGCCGTGGTCCAGGAGCGGGCCCGGAAACGGGCTCGAATTCTGCGCAGCGGAGGTGTCCATGACGCAAGGGATGCACCAGACCAACCGATGCTGGAATTCCGATCCGTCGGCGCGGATGTAAATCGTCGGCAGCCACTTCCTTGCCCAACTCGTCACTCGCTCCGCCAGTGCGCGCCGTCGTTGCCCGCGTCGCGCCAAGGGTCGCAGCGGCCGCCGCGGCCGGGTCGCCACGGCGAGCGCGGCGAAGAAGCGGGGCGGCCCAAGCTCGCCCAGCCGCGCAGCAGGTGCCGAGGAGGCGCCCGAGAGGATGTCTTCGAACATGCAGTCGGCGTTGCAGTCAAGGTCTGCGCCGGCTGTCGCCATCATGGCTGCGCTCGCCAGGTCGAACTGGCTGGAGACGTCACTGCTCGGAGGAGGCAGCGGTGACAGTGCGTCGAAGAACTCCGCGATGCCAGGCGCATCGTCGTCAGAAGAGCTCGACGACGTAGACGAGGCGCTCGGGCTGCTGGATGTAGAATGTGGCGGCGGCGGACGCCGAGCGAGGTGCGACTCGAAGATGTTGCGGGCTTCGGCGGTTGCGTCGGCCGGGGACGGCGGCCAGTCTTCGGACCGCCGGATGCGGTGGGTCAGGTGGGCGCCCGATAGGAAGGTCGAGGCTTTCCTCCTCGGGGCCTGGACCCCCCCAGCGGAGGAGCGGGTCACCATCGAGAAAGACGCATCGGCTAGCCACCATGGTCATTCCAAGTATGAGCCTTGGGCAAGCAAGCAGGTGGGGCGCGTCGTCGGCGCAGTCTCGCTGGAGAGGATAGATGCAGGGCCGCATGCAACTGGGGCGGGGCATCCGCCGCGACGCGCGCTACCCGCCCGCCAGCGACCGCAGACTGGCACGCGACCGCGCAGAGGGCACTCAGAACAGGAGCTGCTGCGCGCGCCGCCATGGCGACCGCCGAATGTCGCCCCTGCAATCGGGGAACCAGGTGGTCCAGCGCTGCGCGAAGAGCGGGATGGCGATGGCCTGGCGCGTCGATGGGCGCCGCGGCATGGTCCGCGGCTGCCGTCGATACCAGTCGGCGGTTAATGCGTCGCAGTCGACCTGCAGGCAATTGCGCGTGGCGCTCGGGCCCCGAATTTCGGTCGCAGCCGTCGCGTTAGCGGCGTCGACGCATGGCTCGTGGACGAACGTGCTCAACTTTATCTCGACGATCGCCTCTCGATTTGGCCGCCGAAGAAAGGTGGCGCAGGAGTTCTGTCGCTTTCGGGCAGGCAATCAGCACGGAGCGGAGGAAAGCCTCTTTGGCCATGCCGCGAGCCGAGAGGCACTTCGGCCCCCCCCGCCCCCCGCTCGCACAGGAAGCAATATGAAGGGACCCAGGGGCACGCAAATAAATGCGCACCAATAAAATAATCCCCCATATTGTTTCATATTTTCTGGGTGTTCGTCTTCACCCCACTTCCCATAGTTTCCCCCATTTTCAAGGGAATTGACGATTAATTGTGTCTGTGTGTTTTCTTTCCGGACAATACTCGACCTGCCTGAAGCCCCCCCCGCGCGCGCCTGCACATCTTGACTAGCTGGCCCATCTCCTCGGAAGCGACGCGAGCGGGTGACGGCGCGAGATGGGCGACGCAGCTGAGGGTCGAGATCGCGCGGGCGCCGTAGAGCCATGCGCGCTTATGGGCGCGGCCGTTGCTGCCAGCGCTGTCGCGCGGCACTTGGACTTCTGCCGCTGCGCCCTCGAGTCGAGGGCGAGGTCTGCCGCCGGGCCCAGACAGGAGCCAAGTCGATCAAGTTACCGGCCACCGCGAAGTCCTTACACACATGCGTCGACCGCGAAGTCCTCACACACTTGCGTTGTCTTTCTCTTTCAGCCGGGGTCAAATGGCCCCTCTAGCGGGGCCACTTTGCAGTTGGCCGTCTCCAAATGAAGCGCGGCGCGCTTGGCCGCCGTGTCATCGTCGCCTCGATGTTCGGCAGGCTGCCGAGAAAGTAAAGGACCCTGCCGATGTCGCATGCACGTGCCGTGAACATGCCCAGGGACGCAGTCTCGATGCGCACTCCCAGAGCTAGGATAATGGGGGGGCGGCAAGCTGGCACAAGGACGCGGAGCGCGCGCGAGTGCGCGCAGCCCTGGACGATGCCCCTGGCAGACAGAGTAAGGCAGCTTGTGTCCCGTCCACCGCGGCCACAATCGCGGCGACTGAACAGAGGCTGCGAACTCCCGCGAAGAACGCAGAGCTCACCGCAACTCCTTCGAGGATGATCATGAAGAGCTCCTGCGAGAGGCTCTGCAAGGCCTGGCCAACGCCCAATCCGATCAAGAGCGGGCGGTTGTCATGCGTGCCAGGCATGAGGCTAGCAACGCGGGCCTTCACGTCCAGCTCCAGAACATGGCCCGTGAAGCGCCTGCCAGGAACGAAGCCCCTCTGCGAAGCAGGGGCACGAGCTTGTGCGAGGGGGGCGATGACCGAGTCGAGCATCGCCGCGATGAGCTTCGCGTCTACGCTGCGGAGCCCAAGTGCGCGCCCTTCGGCTGGGCCTCGCATGGCTCCGCCGTCACGCTGGTCGTCGGCGCGCGCGTCTTTCGGCGAAAATGGCTTGCTCGGCGCCGCCCGAGCTTCGGAGGAAACGCGCCCCGCTCATCAGCCAAAGCGCCGAGTCCCACAGGAACTTCGGGAACTGCGGGATAGCCGCCCAGGCGCGGCGCGTAAGCCCATCGGCTCCAGGAGCCGAAAGCAGCGCGGCCATTCGTCGGACCGGTATGACCATGTGCTCGGCGCTTTGCGGCGGGTGCGCCAGGTCGACGCGGGCGCTCAAGCGCTGGCAAGCGCAGCGCAGCGCTGCTTGGAGGTCGATGTCGCACTTGGTGGCGATCGGGGCTCCGTGCCGCGCGGGGGCCTGGCGCTGGTCGCGCTGGCGGGGGTGGGCCGGCCCCCTTTCGCGGACTCCTCTCAGGGCCATCCTCCTGCAGAAGGGCGCCCGAACTGCGCGCGTCTCTCGGCGGCTGCCAGGCGCCCTTCCAGCCTTTTTTTTTCAGCGGGCCCTTGTGGCCTCGACCGGGATCGCGGAAGTATATTTCTCGGCGGCGTGGAAAGTGATCCGCCCGGTCCAGCCTTGGAGCAGCCAGGGGCGGGCGATTGCGACTGCGTTGATGGCCACCGCTAGGGCGGCGGCAGCTTCAAGCGACGAGCCGATGATGCGCTGGCCCAGCTTGGCATTGATGCGCCAGACCGCCTGCGCGGCCTGTCCGACGAGGACGAGCTGAGGAATGACGCCGTCAACCCTGGCCACGAGCGCATCATCGCGAGAGAAGCTGCCCCAACCATCAACTCCCAGATTCGCAGTAGCTTGAGGGGCGGGGACTTCTCCCCGGGCGCTCGCGCCTCGCACTTGACAGTGTTCTCCAGCGTCGCGGCGTAGTCGAGCCTGATGTAGACCTCTGCTGGGAAAGTCAGCTCGTGGCGAGGGCGACCACTGCAAGTTTGAGTTATGTATCCAGTCCAGCTATTGGAATACCTATACGACCACCCTGCGGGTGATAAGGAGGTTGTGGGGGGGTGGGGGGAGGGGGTGGCTCATGACGACAACTGTGGTGAACGTGGTGCTGATGGGCGATGATGGTGTGAATGACGTGGCGGATTTTTTATTTCCTTCGCTTGGGCGACTTGTGTC